GGAAAAAAAAAAAGCAAATTCAGCCCCTCCTTTTTTTTCTTTTTAAGAAAAAAAAATTTTTTTATTTGGTCGCTACTATTCCTTTAAGGTTTTGGAGCCGTACCAGTGCACTAAATGTGACCTCCATAACTTTTAAATTAAGAATTTATGCTGGCTTGAAATTTATGAAATATTTCAGCATGAAAGAAAGCCTTTTTCCCTCAGGAAAATTGAGCAATAAATCACAGTACTGTGGATTTACTGCCCGAGAGCCAGCGAGAGATAGGATTTTTTTTTTTTTTGCTTCATTCTGGAAAAAAAAATGTAATCATATAAGACAGCTTAGCTGCTATCCTCCCACTCTCTAGAATTTTTAATTTCAGCTGTTTCTGCTTGGATTTATTTCCAATATTCCTGCTCGGCTTTTCAATTTCCTCAGTTATTAAATTTTAATTCAGTGCATTAGCATTTAAATTAAAAAAGGGTTTATTTTATCGAAATCGTTGGCCAGCCCCCATCCCGTAGCACACGAATTGCCTGTTTCTGCCATTTGCACAAAATGTGAAATGCAGCTAATGTCTTACAACTTACATTTGCACAAATTTAGAAATAAAATTTCTGGGTTTGGAATAATATTTTCTTTCCAAGAAAACCCTTAATAAGAGAATGGAAAAGAACAACTTAACATTCATTTGGGAAGGAAGGAGAGAGCTGAATGGCACCAAAAATAGCCTTGCTCAGGTCCTGGGGAGAAGCTAGTGCAAAAGAAATGGGAGGGGCTGGAAAAGGGGGCTGGGCACCTGCACCCAGCCACATCAGATGGAGAAGGACGGCTCCCCAAGGGTCCTCTGTCCCCTACCTTCCATTTGCCACCACAGGATCTGGTTCAGGTTGGGTAAGCTCAATATGGAATGATACGGGTGAAAGGAATAGTGACTGGGGGATGATCTGATTTGACCCTCGCCCCCACCCTTGTTGAAGGTTCCAAATGAGACCCACACAGAGCCCAGGCAGGAAGCTCCATCCTTCAAGACCTCATTGTCCAGGGACTGAAGATGCCAGTGCCACAGCAGCTGTGTAGGAGTTCTCATTACTGAGACAGTCATTCAGTGTACCTGGTCTGGGCCTCATGCTGTGTTCTGTATTGGTCTGACAGGTTCCACTACAGATGGTCATGGGGCATCCTGGGACTGTCGGTGGTTTTCAGGGACATTCTTGACGCTCTGCATCCTGCAGCCTAGGATTCTGGGCAGACCCTTGTCACTAGGAGGGAGGACCCATGGTCCAGTCCTGGCTGTCCCTGCAATTTGCTTATCCATTATGGACTCTTGAACTCCCTGCTCCGTTACTCTGTGCCTCAGTTTCCTGGACCCAATAAATGACAGCTTCCACTGCTGTGTGTGGAGTTGTTAGTGATTCTTACTGCATCCCTGCCAGCACAGTGTGTTTTAAGCTTGTTGCCTCATTTATGTTATCTTGGCTATATCCCCCTGTGGTTGAAGTGGTCAATCTTGTGGAGTAGGTCTTTTGCCCTTTTACAGATGGGAAAAACGGAGGTCTTGAAACTACAGGTGACTTGATGATGGCTATACAGTTCAAAAATGACAAAGCCAAAACTGGAACTCAGACCACTGGCCTCAGCGCCATGCCCTTAAACTTCACTTCAAACTGAGAATCCGTCAGATCTCACTGTTGGAGGTGAGAAGGTAGGATGAGGCTGAGTTGCTGTGGTCATCACTGGGGTTAGACCCTTAAGGCCCAGGAAAATGGTGATGTCGTAGTTGAACTGGATTGAGTCAGGGAGGATCGCTGCCATGTGTTTATGAGGATACTGGTGAGGAAACCTGGTGTGGAATGGAGCTCCACAGTGGGAATGGGTGCTCTTTGTGAGCCTTGGATCCAGCTGGGACAGCTGTTCCTAGTCATTAAAGTCAAACTGATACACATTTGCCAGCCACAGCCTTCCCAGGGCATTCTCCTTCCTCGCAGCTGCAGGTCCAAGTGCCGCCGCCATCTTTATCTCTTCCTCCAGTCGTTGTTGTACTGCCATCACCTGTATCTCTTCTCTAGCGGCTCCAGTCCCCTATGCCGTGAGCTTGGTGTCTTCCTCCAGTGGTTGTACTTAGCAAGTGCCGCTGCCTTCTCTCTGCTGAAGAATTTGTCTTGACAGCTTTCTGGGGAAAAAAAAATAGCAATTTTTCTCTATTTAATAAAAATGGTAGAAAGCAGAAAAAGATGTCCTACCAGTGATGGGGAGTGAAAGTCTCATCAGTTCCGTAAAAAGAAGCAAGGATGACAATGATCAGATGGACACTGGAGCCGATCACCTCTGTAAATTTGAGAAAGAAAAGGTCACAAAATACAACTTAAAAATGTGTACAAAATACTGAAAGTATACATCCAGAGTTTAGTCCAAGAGAGAAAAGATCATTTGAAATTTTATATCTCAGGAAGGGCGAGGGTTCTGTGGTATCAGCATCTCATACGGGTGCAAGTTCCAGTCCCAGCTGCTCTACTTCTGATGCAGCTCCCTGCTAATGTACCAGGAAGGCAACAGAGGATTGTTCCAAGTGTTTGGGCCCCTGTCCCCATGTGGAAGACCTGGAAGAAGCTCCTGGCTTTGGAACAGCCCAGCTCTAGTTATTGCAATCATTTGGGGAGTGAACCAGCAAATGAAAGATCTGTGTGTGTGTGTGTGTGTGTGTGTGTGTGTGTGTGTGTGTGTGTGTGTAACTCTGCCTTTCAAATAAATAAGTAGATATTTAAAAATAAAAGAGGGTGTGTGGTGGCAAGATAGATCAGTGACAAAATCCTTGCCTTGCAAGTGCCAGAATTCCATATGGTGACAGTTTGTATCTCAGCTGCTTCACTTCCCATCTACCTCCCTGCTTGTGGCCTAAGAAAACAGTCAAAGAAGGCCCAAAGTCTTGGGACCCTGCAGTGCATAAGAGACTTGGAAGAAGCTCCTGGATCCTGGAGTCAGATGGGCTTAACTCTGGCTGTTGTGACTACCTGGGAAGTGAACCAGTGGATGGAAGATCTTCTTCTCTGTCTCTCCTCTCTGAAAATTTGCCTTTCCAATAAAGATAGATAGATAGATAGATAGATAGATAGATAGATAGATAGATAGATAGATAGATTGATCTACCTTTTAAAAAGAGCAGTATTTTTATCCTTTTTCATTTCTGCCCCTCAAAGAAAAATGTTAGCAACAACTTCTGCCCATTTGCCTTGTGTGCAAGCTTTCAGGTATGCAAGAAAGAGAGGCTGTGACTGGTCCCCTGCTTTGCTCTCAGGGACCACATGGATTTAGTTAGCATTTCCCAGGGCCCGTTTCCCATACTGCAGTAATACACAGACATCCCATTTCTCCCTCCCTGTCTCTCCTTAATCTTTCCATCTCTGCCACATGGGAGAGGGGCTCCATGGTGCCACCCCATCTCCCAGCATGCTTTCCTGAAGTTGCTGGTGGGATGAAGTACTCCAGAGCTGGGAAAGGGGACCTTAGAGTGACCCTGACCTAGACTTATACCAACAAAACCCTCTTGGTAAGCAGCTCAAGTTCTGGGACCGTGTGTGTGTGTGTGTGTGTGTGTGTGTGTGTGTGTGTGTGTGTGTGTGTGTGAAGGTTAACTGTCTACCCAGAAGTGCCTTTTGGGAGGTTATTCAGGGGAGTGCATGGTGATGCCCACAGGGGCCTATGTATAAGGCAAGAAGGAGGGGTGGGAACTGTGGAAAACTAGAATGTCAGTTTTGCTGCCTGTCATGGTGTAGGACTTGACATTACTGGATTATCCAGTGCTCTTCAAAAGGACTGGAAATCTCAAGTATTTTGAGTGAAATCCATTTTTGTTTACCTATTGCCACTTGGCTTGCATCAAAGTCTGCTGCCTGGTTTTGTTAAATTGTGACTTCTTGTAAGCACCCATTAGAAGGGAGAGTGATGTTTTTATTTTGGGTCCTTTGTCCTATCTTCATAATCCTGACTTGCAAAAAGCTAGAAAACAAAAAAAGTTTTGGTACCAAGGGACACTGCAGAATTTGACCCGAGGGGATGAGGCAGGTGTGGACCACAGCTGGCCCACTGGGGAGGCCTGTACATGTTTTGCCACAGCAGTATTGGGGTGCTTGATTCTTAGGGCTCTCCACCTGGCCTGTTGGGGTTGTTTCAATGTATGGCACATACACAGCGCTGGAAAAATTCTGGATTTGGAGTGGAAATGCGCATGCGCCAGAGTTTCAGACATGCCAGAATTCTTATTGCGTGCTGCTACTCCAGCTGTCCTGACAAAGCCAGGGAGTGTACATCAGCACAGGCAGGGCTACAGGCCCTGGGCACTTTCCAGAGCTACAGCCTCCTTAGGCTTGGGCCAGTGAGAACCCCTTGAGTGTTGGCCCCAGACTCAGGCTCCTAAGAGTGTGTTGTTGGGTCCTCAGGAGACTTCCAGCTGCTGCCTCCACACCCAAGGCCTTGGTCTCTGCATCTGAAACCAGGATTTTATCATTTCTATAAATTTCATTTATTCAGCCTTATCTCCCCTCCCCCACCCTCAAATAAAAGAGATTAAGAGCCAGCACTCTGATGCCTTCCCCTGTTCATGGGCGGGGTGGGGGAGAGGGGAGAGGGAGGAAGGACAGAATATTTTAACATAATGGGATTTTCCTCCTCTGGTTGGTAGGAATAAGTCTGCAGCTACTGTTTTATTGGAAATCCCAACTGAAAATGAAAGTGGTGCAATTCAATCTCAGACTTAACTAGTTACTTACTTTACCCCCTGGTCTCCAGAGCAGGTGTACTAGGTTTGTGTTGCCAGTGGGCGCTCAACTGGGTTTTAAAAGGCTGAAGTGGGGGTGAGGGGAAGCGTGCTGACTCCTCCTTACCACTAGGGGCAGGCTTTCTGAGTCTGGCAGCCTAGGCCAGAGGCTTATGGCCTGCTCACGGCTCAGTCAGAAGTGGGTGAGTAGCAGTGGGTAGATTGTGTCATCCAGAGGCTGATGTGTTTGGGTCTCTCTTGCAGGCTGACGGAGCCAGTGGAGCCAGTGCTGCTGGAAGGAAAAGCACGCCGAGCAGGTATAGCTCTCCACTCTCCCTCCCCGCCCGTGCCTCTTTCTGGTGCTTTCTGCCTCAGCTAAGTGCAGGCCAATTCTCTGGCTGAGCAGTAAGTGCCCTTAGAGAATATGAGACCATGGGCAGGTACCTGGGACATTGGTCTAAGGATGACTCATTCCTGAACTGGCCATTGGCCACTCATGTTGGATAGCACTCAGTGGTTAAGCCTAGTGCCTAGGCCTGCATCTAAGCCTGGCTGTTGAGCTGTGGACTCCCGTACGGGATAAGTGGGCTGAGCAGTTCCATCTAATTCTTGAATTGGTTGGCCCATGCACTTGGGTTAATATTCATCTCCCTCCCACCACCCAGAACCAGTCACTCAGCAAGGGCAATAAGACACCCTGCCTAGCCAGTCTCTGAGTTTGTTCTCACTTTTCAAACTAGCAGGAGATGGGGAGGGATAAGGGTCCTAGAAGGAAAGCTGGAGGCAGGAGGTAAATCAAAATCAAAGAGGTTTCTTCGCTGTAGTAATTGTCAGAGCCTTGACTGTGCTAATGTGCATGCCAAGGACCCACTCCCAGGGGTAGGGAGGGGAAGAGAATGCCATGTTTCTCAAATGCACTTAACTGGGGAACCCTTTTATTAAAGTTACTCCATTGAGCATATGTTCCTTGAAACACAGTTTGCTTAAATTATCTGTGCAAAGGAGTGGTGGGTATGGCTTCATGTTGCAGGAACATCTTGAGCACCTGCCTTGAGGAGGAAGATTGGAAATGGATTCAAATGAAGGCTGTGAGACTAGGCTGGGGCTTCCTGCCTTGTACCTGACTGTGTGTAGCTGGGCATGTGATTCGTTCTCTGTGGGCCCTGTGACCTCTTGGTCTCTTAGCTCTGCCAGTATAGCTAAAAAGTAGCCCTGATCACTGCAGCCCAAACTGCTTCCGACCCGAGAGCCTCTGCAGGGGCTCAGCTGATGCTTGTAACGCTCTCTGCATTGCTCTTTCCTCAAGCTGTGTCCTCTCAGCTCTGCTTTCAGCTTCCCTCTCAGAGCAGCACTGCCTCATCACCCTAATCTAGTCCTTAGGGCTTAGCCTGAGGCCTATGTAGTCCATGTGCACCCTCAGCTGTTGCATTCCTGTCTGTACCTTTTCCTCTGTCCCTTAAGTGTCACCAACTAGGGCAGGGACCATTACACCTGCGTTGTGTACTTGCTGTGGATCTGATCCCACGCAGGCCTTCTTCAGTCAGTGTTCACGGAATGGATGCTCCAATGAGAAAGGGAATGGTGTGGGCTGGAGTGGATGGGTAGAGCCCAGACAGAGGTGAGTTGACTGGCCCAGTGGCCTATGGATATGGGTGGTGATGGGATCAGCCATGGGGTCAGCAGCTGCCTAGCATCTCGCCTCGCTGCCTGGTGTGGAATTGGGGTGACATCAGTGTACGAGGCTGTGGCCTGCCAGGCAGGGACAGTTCTCAGCCCAGTGACACCTGCAACAGCTTTTTGGACCAGAAACCAAAACTGCAGGGACCTTGGCATTTGTCTGGTTATACCCATGGGGAGAGTAAGGGCTGTGGGAGGGAAGACCTGTTCACCGTCATATAAGGAACATGTGGTCTTATTTTAGTGTATGTGCTGCCTTAGGCTATGGTTGATGGTAGAAGAAGGCTCAGAATGATTAGAGATGCCTGTCCAGTCAGGGGAGGAGGAGAGTGGCAGATGTGCCACCTGCAAGGTTTCTTCACGGAAAATGTGTACCATGGGGAAAAAAAATGCATGGATTTCAAAATCCTTTGCACCATAATAGCCTTACCTTTTAATCCTGTTTTCCATGAACTTTTGAAGTATCCTTCTGTCTGGTTCCTTTGACTAACTATCCTTGCTTTGAGTCCCAGACAAGCCATGGCTGGGCCTCATGTTATCACCATAGCATCTGATTATACACCAATAAGGGCCAGCCCATGCTCTAGAGCCGTGTATAACATGAGGCATAAAGACAAGATTTCAGGTAACATTGGCAATGATTTTGTCAAGCTCTGAGCTAAGTGATTTATAGCTATTCACTTATTAATTTTATAGAATCACTGTAGCTACCTTGTGAGGAAGGTACTCAACATTATTCCCATTCACAGATGGGGAAGCTGAAACGGAGTTCATCGGCCTGTGACTGCCTAGGTGGCATATGGGTGGCATATGGGTGCCAGTTTGTGTCCCAGCTGTTCCACTTCTAATCCAGCTCTATGTGTATGCCTGGGAAAGCAGTGGAGGATGGCCCAAGTCCTTGGGTCCCTGTACCTACATGTCAGACCGAGCAGCTCTAGGCTCCCAGCTTCTGATCAGCCCAGCTCTGGCCATTGCAGCCATTTGGGGAATGAACCAACAGGAGGAGGACTTCTCTCTCTGTCTCTCCTTCTCTCTCTATAAAATCTGCATTTCAGTAAAAATAAATGAATCATTTTTTTAAAAAAATTGATGAGGTGTATGTAAAGGCACATTTATTTTCACATCAAAGAGTTTTGAAACCCATGCAGACTTTTCATAACATGCATTTTCCTTCACTGATGTTTTTAAAACCTGTCTGCTTAGAACTCAGATTTTTATATCCTGATAACCTTATCTTTGAAATCTTCCCCTTTTATTTGCAAAACAGAGTTAGGGCTCCCATCTAGTGGTTCATTCTGGACCTAAGCTGGGAGCTGCAACTGAGATGGTAATGGGACTGTGATTACTTGACATGCCTCCTGTACCTTCCAGAAAGCTGGAATTGGAAGCTGGAGCTGGATGTCATATTTCCATGAACTTTTCAAGCATCTTTGTGGATACTGTGATGTGATGGCTAGAGGTTCGGCCTGAGAGTTGAACAATGTGTTACACACCAAGAGAGCAGTAGTGGCAAGTGGCCTCAGCTGACTCTACTGGTGAATCTGAGCATGGCTGGGTGGAGTTTAAACTGACAGACACTTTGCGCATCATGAGAGCTCCTTATGCATTAGTTTTGGGAGGGAAAATGAAGTCCCTTACATACTCCATGGTCAGAATAAGTATGCCTGGTCTTGAATAGGAATGACCTTGAGGGACCTCCAACCCTCTGCCCCCCGTGGCTGCATGGCCTGCTGTGTTATTACATCAGGATCTGTTTTCATCCCAGCGCTTTCCTTTTGGCCTGGAACACATAGTTTTGTTATTTCTCCAGAGGGCTGCTGGCGAAACCCCAAAACCAACAGCATGGCTGCTAAGGAATTAGTGTTAAATTGAGGGGGACAAGGAGAGGTGGTGTTTCTGAGCTTAAGAAACAACCAAATGTGGTTTGGTTTACTTCCCTGTAACCCTACCTGGGTCGATTTTACAAGGCCAGTGATCCCAGCACTTGAGGTTAATGCGGCCCTGGTGTGCAGGTTACAAATCACGTAGCGCAACTGTGGCCAAGCCTCACTTGTGCTAAGGGGCACCGGGGTTGTGGGGATCTTAGCTGTGGAAAATTCTAAAGGAAATGCAGCTTTTAGAATAATCAAGTGAGTACAGTCACAGGCTTGTGGCCAGGATGAGTTAGGCTTTTTCTTCTTGGTCAGCCAAGGGTTGGCAGAGCTTGAAGGATTTTGTAGATAACTTGGTCCAACACTCTGATTTTTGAAGATAAGGAGATGGAGACAGGAGCAGTTCAAGGACTCATTTGTTCATTGCCTAATGAGTGAATGGGGCCCTGTAGATGGGCAGGTTGTGGTGAGAGAAAAACCAGGCCTCATTCATTCACTGCATGGATGTTCATTGAGTGTCTGCTGTATATTTGGGTCATGTCTCAGGTGCTGCACAAAGAGCAGTGACCATCCTGGAAGCCACTGCCTACTGAGACTCTAGTGAGAATGGAACTAATACAGACAGTCCTGGAGGTGTGTGCTCAGCAGGTGGTAACGAGCCCCACTGAGTGATGGGCAGCTGGAGAGGGTGTCACCTCTGTAATCTGGGGTGGTTCAGGAAAGGCATTACTAGGAAAGTAACCCTTAAAGAAGCACCTGAAAAACCATGAGGCACACAAGCAAGCAGTCCTTTGAAGGAAATGCATTTCAGGCAAAGGGCTCAGCAGGTGCAGGGGTGTCTGTCGCAGTGCAGCAGCTGCAGGAAGGTCCATGTGGCTGTGTGTGGGCTCTCGGAGATGGTCCTTGGGGCTTTGGCTGTTACTCCGTGTGAGATCAGGAGCCCGTCGGAGATGTCGAACAGTGAAGTGTCACGGTGTGGCAGCCAGCAGAAAACGCAGTGGGGCAGGAGGTTTCAGAGATGGTATGTGAGCAGCCCTGGCAGTGATAGATGGTAATGAGCCCCACTGAGTGAGAGCGACCTCCTTTTCAGCAAAGGATTGTTATGTACCCAATATCCAAAAGCTTGCTTCTTGGTTCAGGCTGGTTCTTGGGTGGGCAGACACATCCCTGTGGCCACACTTTTTCCTCCATGCTGCCCTTCATTCCTTGCCCACACTGGTGGGCAGCTTCCTCATCCTCTAAAGCCTTGCTTAGCCCAGTCAGCTTTGCCCAGAGCTGAAGATTCCAGGCTGCTGGGTCCAGATCTGTGTCCTGGGAGTATGACATGGGAGTGGGACCTGGAGCTAGCGCCCTCACCTGTCAGTGTTTCTCATCTGCAAAGTGGGTACATACTAGCACCTGTCTAGTATTATCCATGAGGATTAAGTGTAATCATGTGTAGTTCCATAGGAGGTGTTCGATAAACATTTATTTCGATAACCATGGTATTAGGTTTCAGTTCCTAAGAGTGAGTGTCAGGGCCTGGTTATCAGGAAGGGAGTGGCAATGGAGGTTGGGTTTATTGGTTGCCTACCACAGTACACCCACTCTGCCTTGCAGCCTTCCATACCTTATTGGATCCTCCCAGCAGTCCTCTTAATTAGTGACTGCTCCCCCTCACCCAACTTTTTTTTAAGGGAACTGACTTGTCGAAGGTTACCCAAGTAGTAAAATGCCTTTGATTCTAGCTGAGTCTTACCCTCAACCAGTGGAACATTTAATTTGATAAC